ACTGTAGCGTGAAATTCATACTGTAAATTATATTACATTTAAAGTGATAATTATTCCGAATATAATTTTCGTGTACTGTTTTGTGCAATAGCCTCGAGATTTGTATTGAAAAAGAATTGAACTTATTTTTTCTTTTTTTTCAACACAATCTTGTTAGAAGATTACTTTTAACTAAATTAATTTTTAAAATATGTTTTTGTTTACACAAAATGGACAAGATTAGTTGACAAGCGAATTACATCGTCGAGAAAAATTTATAAAGATTTATTTCTGTTGAAAAAAATTTATGAAGATTTTTAAATTTACTTTTCTAAAGAAATATTCTCATTTATGCTTAATTGTTTTTATTTCAGTGTGTAGAGTGTATTGTAAAGTTTATTAAATGTATATTTTTTAAAGTGGTATTTTGTAGTGCGTAGTAGTTTGTAGCGTGTGATAGTATATGTTACACAATTTGTTACGTTGTTTTATTGTAAATAATATAATTATCTGCACGATCCAAATAATTATATCTAGTTTTTTTTACGTTATTTAACACGATTTGATAATTATGATCGTTATTTTGGCTATTTGCGTCTCTTACTATTTCACAAATATATTTTCATATTATATTCTCATATGTAATGCTATAATGACACTGCTGGATAAGAGTTCCACGTTGCAATTAGCATCGTTTATAGCGCAAAACACATTTGCACATTCTTACGTTTTCGCACGCTCGAGCTGACATTCACGTGCAACGTTAGAAGCAATTTTGCATACAATGTGATAAACAATATAGAATCGTAAATCATCTTGTTAAATGTCTGCACAGTATAGACAATGAAGAAATTAATAAATACGTATGTATCGCGATAAATTCGTCATCTTATCTATATTTTTTTTTTATTTCAGCGCATCTGTCGATATTTCGATCTTTTCAGCGTAAATCAGGTGTTCTGAAAACAATGCTGCATCATTTTCATGACATACACATTTCACATGATAAACTCATGTGACATGAGATGCAGCATAACGCTATTTTTTATGCTCTCGTTTGAGATCGCTCTTTTGACAAGTTGAATTGCTTCTTTTTTTATATATGTGTGATATTAAAGCCTATTTTTTACTAGCTATTTTTTAATAGTTTTAGAGTTTAAAACAATTTTGATGCTAAAGTTATTGACTTATTCGAGACTATTCAATATTTCAAAAATATTTATTATTATTACGATATTTCTTATTATTACTATACATATCAGTGATTACAAGTCAGAATTGTAAGGCATTTTAAATACCAAATGTGATTTTTCAATTCTAAATTTTTCCTAGTCGAAATGCGTCAAAAATGAAACAACTATACGATCATGAAATAATTTTCATTAAACTTAATTTGAATTAAAGGATTGAAAGTTAAGTTCTAAAATATGAAAAGTTCATAATTAAATACATTTACATTATTATGCAACAGTTTATTAACTATTCTACTTCTATATTGGTTCTATCTCTATGAAACGCGTCTATTTTTGCTACTGTAGCTCTATGTTTGCAGCCAGAAGTAACGACACATTAGAAACGCGTGTACGCCGCTATTTGCATCGTATATCCTATTCGTGATAATATATTCATAGGTCAGGTAAAAAATTGTTAGAGTAGTGACCGAAAGCGGTCTATAAAATTAACACGAATTTACGATTACATGCATTTTTGCTTTGTTTTTGTCAAACTATTAACATATATAATATTATTAACATATGTAATATTATTAACATAACATATTAAAATATTTTAATTTATAAATTTCAATTTGTTCATGCAGCGACCACATAACACAAATAATGCATGGAAATTTAATGTTAATCACATGAAAGAAACATTGACAAATGTAATATATTAATTACAACACTCATAATACTTCTTCTCGAGTGTCTCTTAATTATTTTTGGCAATTAAAGAGACGAAGAGAATTGATATATTTTTTTTCTGACGCACGAGGAAAGTGATTCTTATCACTTATACGCCTATATTTTTGTTTTATTTGTATCATATTTTAATATCAGATTTAAATTGTATAAAGCTTTATATAGCCAATAAGCGAATTGGTGACTTCACGATTTAACGCCACTTCAAGCTTCTTCTAATCTCTTTAAACTTTTGCAGATGGCTGGCAAGCCGAGTGCTCAAACGATATACGCCCAAAGTCAGCTGGATCACATGTGCGCTCTGGATATCGACAGCCAAGTGTCTTTCGTCCGCTTATCCGGCATCATTTGCACGATCGGTCCCGCATCCAGATCTGTGGAGACTCTGGAGAAGATGATCGAAACAGGAATGAACATCGCCCGGATGAATTTCTCTCACGGATCCCACGAATATCACGCGGAGACCATCGCTAACGTTCGCGAGGCGCAAAAAAATTTAACTGCTCGTGCTGGTATCAATATTCCTGTTGCCATTGCTCTCGACACGAAGGGTCCCGAAATCCGTACTGGTCTCTTAGAAGGCGTAATTATTAATCTTATTTTCTGAAACAAAAAGTTTAATTAGGAATGACAATATTTTATATACTAATTGTTTTAAACTTGTTATTTTTACAGGGTGGCTCAGCCGAGGTAGAACTAGTTAAGGGTCAGACTTTTAAGCTGTCCACCGACAAGGCATATCTGGAGAAAGGAAACGCTCAGGTTGTCTACGTTGATTACGAAAATATTTCAAAGGTATTAAAAGTTGGGAATCGAGTGTTCGTGGACGACGGCTTGATTTCTCTCATCGTCTCTGCCGTCAGTAAGTTATTTTATTTAAAATCGTTTACAATTGAAACTATTTTCTCGTCTTGGATATTCTATAAATTGTTTAAGTGAAAATTTTTGTTAGAATTAGAATAAGAAATAATATTGCTATTTTTATGTAACTATTACGTAACATATAACATTACTTAAAATATAAGATTTCAATGCATAGTGAAGAAAATGTAAATTTTACATTGCTAGGCCTATTTATAAACTGTTTATCACAAATAATCTATCTTATTTTTTAGGTCCCAATTTAATTTCGACCACTGTTGAAAACGGTGGTACGTTGGGTTCTCGCAAAGGCGTGAATTTGCCGGGAGTCCCGGTGGATCTTCCAGCAGTGTCAGAAAAAGATAAGTCTGACCTTCAGTTTGGTGTCGAGCAAGAAGTCGATATGATATTCGCCTCCTTTATCAGAAACGCTGCCGCGTTAACTGAGATCCGCGATATTCTCGGCGCGAAGGGTAAAAATATCCAAATCATATCGAAGATTGAGAATCAACAGGGTATGGCGAATCTCGACGAGATCATCGAGGCGTCCGATGGCATCATGGTGGCGCGTGGTGACTTGGGTATAGAAATACCGCCGCAGAAGGTGTTCCTGGCACAAAAGTGTATGATCAGCAGGTGCAATAAGGTTGGCAAACCGGTAATTTGCGCTACGCAGATGTTGGAATCCATGGTGAAAAAACCACGTGCTACGAGAGCTGAAACGTCGGACGTTGCCAATGCCATTCTCGATGGTGCTGATTGTGTTATGCTGTCAGGTAATACATCTTGCTATTTGGAGAAATTAAATTCTTGTGTTTGTTCGATGCGCTGTTTATATATTTTTCTTGTATTTTACTACGCTTCAATTCTTTATCATTTTCGTCCTTCAGGTTGCACCTATAAATTATTGATAACTTTTTTTTAGGTGAGACCGCGAAAGGAGATTATCCTTTGGAGTGCGTTCGTACGATGGCCAATATTTGTAAGGAAGCGGAAGCCGCGATCTATCAAACTCAAATTTTCCATGATCTAACGAGCAAAGCTCTGCCGCCTATTGACGCCACACACGCTGTCGCTATTGCCTCTGTAGAAGCGTCCGTTAAATGCTTAGCCAGTGCCATCGTTGTTATTACGACAAGCGGTCGATCTGCGCACCTGATTTCGAAGTATAGACCTCGTTGCCCGGTTATTGCGGTTACTAGGTTCCATCAAGTCGCTCGACAAGCGCATTTGTACCGCGGAATATTGCCGTTGTATTATACAGGTACAGTATTGATAGAAAAATATTTATTTGATATTTGTTTGACATTTTTGAGAGAGAAAATATAATGTGTATCATAAAAATGTATATGTATTGCGCATAATCTTGACAGCGATTGCATTGAGTACATGATCTATCTTTTTCAACAAAATTATTTTTAAAAAATATTGTTTTATTTCACGAAAAGTAATTTTTATTCACCGTTTCTATTACATCTGTCTGCAGAAGCACCATTGGCCGATTGGGTGAAGGACGTGGACGTGCGCGTCCAATACGGATTAAACTTTGGCAAACTTCGTGGTTTTGTAAAAACTGGCGATTCCGTAGTAGTCGTGACAGGATGGCGGAAGGGTTCAGGTTTCACGAATACACTTCGCATCGTGTACGTAGAACGAGAATTGGTCAAAGAAGAACCTGTTTGCGAGATTTATAGCGATACTGATTCTTACGAAGATCTCTTTTGAGTGTTGCATGATGTTCCATCTTATTTTTTATATTTCGTGATTTATTCTTTCATTAATTATGTAGAATATTTTTGTCAAACACTAACACAGACGATCTGTATGTTCACGATAATGTTAGGATAAATGCCGTTAGACGCATTAATCTAATTAAATATGTAACATTAAATTTCTATGCTGTAAGAGAAATTTGTACATCATACAGATAGATTTATATTTTAAACGTAGATCACTTTTTATAAAAATCGAGGTGATACTAACACTATTTATGTTTCAGCATGTTCCCTTAAATATTTAATTTGTGAATCCGATAGTTCAAGTATAGTTATCCGTTTACTGTAGTATATCAATGTCGCGGTTACCTTTTTGGGGGGTGATATAAATGTTCATTTATATTAATCGATTTGTTTTTATTTTTAGGAACGTCGAATAAACCGACACTATACTGGATGGGCGATATAGGAAGCATGATCTTTACATGTAGATGTAATATGTAAAATTATCGAGTAATATTTGAACATGTATGTAATTGTACTTCATCCTTCCACAAGTTCCAGTAAATACAACTATGTGAGATTATTTTATTAGTAAATCCAGTATTATTTCACCGTTGAAACACACAAATGCAGTATGTGAAGAAATCAAAGGTATAGACATGTTCACATGTATTGTTGTGTAAATGATATAATAACTTACATGCTATATATATATATATATAGTGAATAGATTACGCAAACATTACTTGGATTATTAATCTAAAATAAATTGTTGAGTGTTAAGTCTTCGTCTTTCTGTGTAGAAATAAAAGATATTTATTTTGCACTACTAGATATTTAGTTATAATTTGTCATACAAACTTTTAAGATATTAATCGTATCTTTATCAAAGAAATCAAAATCATAAATAATATAATATAAAATTTAAATGGGGGAAGAAAAGAAAGCTGTGATAGATATGATAGAAGCCAAATCATGTCAAATTGGAGATAAAGAAAGGTTCCAAGACTCTAAAAATTGCTATGAATGATTAAGTGTGTAAAGAAAACATAAATGAAATAAAAGCCATATGGAAAAGTGAGTAATCAAAGAAAACTATATAATAAGACAATAAGTAGGTATAGTTACTTTTGTGTTGATAGGGAGTCGAGATAAACGATGTACAGAGTAAGTTTCCCTAGCCCTTTGTCTAAGGACCATAGCACAATATATTGATTGTTGCTTCATGAAGCTCTTATGCAGTGCAAATCCTAATTCCAGATGTGTCATCCCCATGGGATGCAAAGCTCAAGATTAGCTTAGCCAATGACTTCATGTAGCATATCGAAACAGAATTCACAGTTCCAAGCTGCCTTGATTATCCTGCTTTGTTGCATCAGTAGGAAGTGCATACGTCTGAATAAGAACTGTGTTAAACATAGAATATCAGTATGAAATACTTAAATTAGACATTGAACAAATTTAATTTATTTGTCAAATTAAGACATTTTTTATAGAGGAGATACAAGAACCCATAACAGAATAAGGTACTCCATGAGCACATCGGTATCCTTATTAGTTCCTTCAAAAAGCTATAGTATTAGAGTTAATAATAGAACAGTATACTATCTCTTAAAAAAAAATACATAAAATATAAAATAATTTTTAGAAAATATAATAATTAAAAAATCTCTAATTTGGCACAGAGAATATGATATTCTCTGATATATAGTCCAAAAAATGTTTGTGTAAAGCATTATGCATAGACACCCTATCTGAATAACATTTATTGCAATTGTAAAGTGCATATCTACAGGCCATTCTAACCAATAAATTTGGCAAACCAAACTGATAGCAATTATTTCGTGTCATTACCCTAAGTACCGAAATAATTAACTTTGTTGTTGTAATTAATTGATGATATCTTTCAAGTTAATTACTTAAGATAAATGATTCTAGCCTTATTAAATGTGTTAAACTCTTGCTTGCTGATTACACTTATTTGCTACACTTTTCCACGAGAGATTGACAATCTCATCGACCCTTGATCATGCATCCCGAGTGATTCCGACATCAGTCGAAATTGATCGATGATACATCCACGTCGCTCGCCGTGTGGCCTTCAGAGTTCAATGCTCCGTAACGGTATTGTGTCTAGCAGATGTCTAGACCGTAGCATAAAAAAATAGTTCTTCCGCATTCCACGCATTCCGCAGTTGCGCGCTTCCGTACCGCGTCTATTTTTAGACGATGCACCTGCCGGATTTTCAAAACGCTATAACTCTGCGAAAAATTGACGTAGCGACATGCGACAAAAACCGATCTTCTCGATTTTTCACGCTGCAGATGTTCATGCACACTGCACATGCTCTTATCATGACACAAATATGTATATGCGCATTTAATTATAAAAATATATTGTATGATAAGGAGAAATCTCTAAAATTTGAATTTTTATGATTATTTTGCACCTGAAAATCACGTGCGCGACGACCAGTTTTTCCGAAACAAAACATTTTAACATTAATGTATATTTTATTCATTTTATGCTTTGCAATCTTGCATCATATCATTTGGCAGGCCTAGAATTTTATTGCGATGCATTGAAATCTTATATTTTAAAGAAAGAAATGGTTTAGAGTGTTAAAATGTGCATTTTATTCATTTAAACAATCTAGTTTATTTCTTCCTTTAAAATATTGGATTTTAATATATCGCAGTAAAGTTCTGGGCCTGCCAATTAATATAAGATACATTCTGCTATATTATATTGTATTATATTCTTTTTAAGGATATCTTTGTTTTGTCTGCGCTAACAAACGATATCAATTCTTACCTTGATGGTATCGTGGACGTTATTATGACGGACGCAAACATAGTGCGCTTGAACGTGTCGCATAAGGGGAATAAGTGACGTGCAATCGCTGTGCTGTCTGTAAGAAGACTGGAAATAGCATGTGTATAGATTGATGTTGAAGCCTCTCGTCCTTTCGACATGATAATAGATCGTCGAATGATGAAAATAATAAAAGATATAACATTATATAATTACGAAAATATAATAAAAATAATATTACGTAAACATAAATCAGTCTTCAACTTCCAATTAAATTTACATAATAACGACGGATTACTTTGGCTCTAATAAATGCAAGATATTTTAATTTGTAGATATGTATGTTAATAATATCAAAACTTTATTGTTTATCGTTTTATAAACGATTTTGGTATCAGATATAAGCAGCAAAATAGCGAAAATACGCATGGGATGTGGTGCCATCACTTCACCAAAGCTGTGACTTATCGGTATAGTGATAACGTTGTTCTCTACAACGATTAGATAGCACTAGATTATTCCAACTTATAATTTTTGCGGTTGATTAATTTAACATAAGCCTGTATTGTACCGTAATCAGATATTGTAAGGATTTTAAATCTAGGGATGCTAAGACATGTTAATTTTAATAATATTTTATTGTTAAATTTAAAGTTTGGTTTTTAAAAATTTTATGCCAAGTTATAACTTATTGCAAATTATTTAAAGATTTTGGCAGTTAAATCTTGAATTAAAAGATAATTCAAACTTGATTTTTATAATAAAGCCTTATTATTTACAAATATCTACTCAGTTAACGTAATTTCTTTATTTTAAATTGCTTGAAACATAATTTACATGCTGTTTGATTTTTGACGATTTAATAAAGAAAAATGGACTCTGAATCCTCATAAAAAGCTTATTTGACAGAGAATTTTATGTGTTTATTTATTTGATCAGTTTTTGAATAAATTGCTTGGACGAGAAATGGATAACTTGCAAAATTACAAGCAATAAACCTATGTGATCTATACGAAGATTATGCGTCTAACAGATAGCACGAGGTTGCATTGCTACAAACGTCTACGCAAGATGAGGCTTATGTCGAGTTAGCTTTGAATCTCGAGCATGATTGTGTCATAGCGAATTACGCATGCGATACCAAAATCGTTTATACTGTGAAACATTATGTCATGCGAATTGGTAACAAGATGCGGTCTCTACAATTGCACGCGTGCTGTTGACGCATATGCCCTTTGTAACATGATTTACGCATCGGAAAGACACAAATCCTGCGTTCTGGCTTTCGCGTGCAAGATTTCGGAAATTTCGATAAATTTTTGGAAAACAGTAGTAATTAACTTATTCATCATTTTGATTTTACTTTTCGTCAAGTCCAAAAATTTCTTATTGTCTTTTCAGAAATTTGCAACCGTCCGTTGAAAAATACTATCTCAAATGTAAGCTAATAAAGGATAATCGATAATTCTATAATTTTTATTATTATTAATATCTTAATTATATTTGGTAAAAAGTATATATCTCACGAGACATTAACAGTGAATTCTGTATTCGTTATTTTGCATTTGTGCGTAACATTAATCCTGCGCAAGTATTCGAACGTCCTAACGATTGCGTAGAAATTTGCAACAGATCGATCAAACGTCAGCTCTGTATTGAAAGAGCTTTTCATCAACGAATGTAAACGCGTTGACGCATTCTCGTGCGTATCGAGCGGACATTTATGGCAGCACACCGACATATGGCATAACGCTGAACGAAAGGCCGCGTCCATTCTGTCCGCCGCGATGTTTTTATCACTCAGTGATTAGGTGCGGCGGCGGAGGCGAGCGTGGGCAGAAAGTTTGTATAATGTACGATAAAGCCGATCGAGTTGAGGGGTGAGTGAGAGAAGAGAAAGAGTACGATTGCTGGACAGTATCGTGCCGGCGACATTCAGCGATCGCCTTATCAGTGTCCTCTTTCGACGAATCGACACTTTCGACGAGAGACGGAGAAATTTCCTTGTTTGGTGATCTCTGCGCACCCTCCCTCCGACGCATGAATGAGCAATTTCGAACGAGCGAAATTCATCCCACGCTTGTGACCTTTTGTGCCTGGAATTCCGCAGGCCGTTAACATACGCGACGCAAAAGGCGAACGAAAATGGTGGCAAGTCGAGCGACTATAAAGATAATTGCTGTTATAGCAATGTACAAAACAATCGTAAAACTTTGGCGGCGCATAGTTGCGTTGATTAATTTTTGCTGCGCAGTTTCTAATCAATGACACATGTATGTTCTGAAAGGCGGAGCCAATTAATTTCACTATAAATAGATACTATTTAATTATATATATTCAAATATTACTATTGAATTGCGTTAGTTAAATATGATTTTCATGATAACATTATTTAATTATTGTTATTATATATTTATTTTCCATTTATGTAAAATCAACTTTTGACAAATGAAATGTATTCATCATTGCTCACTGGAACACGGATTTGCACCTTCACACGTAAAAATATAATTCTTTTATATTGAATAATTTTAATAGCGACGTTTGATCGCTTCTATGTCGCAGTAACAGAAACCATTTTGCTACAAATTCCATTCTTTCGTGTGACATCACATTTTTTCACTTTATATTATATTTTTAAAATATGCAATTATCTTACTTGAAACGTGGGAAGAAGCGGAAATTTAATATCACTGCATCACATATACAATTTATTACTGTTCTCTACAATTTTGCAGCTTCTTTGCGTTGCCGATAAGAATTTATACTTTTCACA